AGCAACATCGGCGGCAGTGTTTTTGACAAACTCAGTGAAACTGGGCGTCTTAGAACTGAACCCAGCACCTTCCAGGCCCGCTTGGGCACCCCCATGCCAGCTGGACCCATTGAAGGTGGCAAACTTGAGCGGCGAAAGCGAAGATACCTGCTTCGCTGAGCACTGCAACTGACGAAATACACCATCTCCTGAGCGTCGAGCAATGGTTTTTTATGAACTTGGCGCAGCAATCGATGGGGGCGAGGTAGGCCCTGCGGCCCATGAAGTGGGCCCTCTCGAGGCCCACGGTCCTGACAAGGTTGACGGCCCTGTCAGCGTCATCAAACCAGTGGCGGGTCCTGGAGCCTCCGACGAAGGCGACGACGGCGACGTACTCCGAGTGCAGCACGACGCTCTCGAACACCATGTACTAAAGGTCGGGCTCCTGCTCCTCCGTCTCTCCGACGCCCTCCCAACTCCGGTGCGGATGATGGAACGCAGTGGACCCAGTTGGCCGACATCCAGGACCTGGGCTACGAAAACGGGGCTTCTTAGCAGGGTTCCGCAGGGCGTCCAGCAGCTCCCTCTTCTGCGCCGCGTCGATCCCTGCCACACCCTCGCACACCTCGACCAGGTCCACTTCGTCGATCTCCATGGCGGGCCCCTGAGGCGAGGGCTGGGGCGGCCGCGGAACACTCTTGGGGAACAGGGACTCAAACTGACCGAGGAGTGACTCGTGCTTTGACTGCAAACTGTCGCGAACCTCAACAGCTGCGACGCCTGCAATGACACTCCTGAACTCCCCCATGTGTGCACCGAAAGACTCCATGCCGCGAGAACTGATGACACAGCGTCGGCAGCAGCCTTCTTGAGATTTTCCAATGCAACTGATTCATCAGCAATGGCTTGGTCCAATTCAGCTTTCTGATTGACCATTTCCTCGATATTGGACTGGAGACTCTGGGACTGTTCGCGCAGGCGGCCAATCTTCCTCTCACTTTGCTTCTGGGCCTGCTCAGCTTTGAATAGAACCTTAGACGGTGGAACATCCTGCTGCCGAAATCGACGAGCCTCTTCATAAGCAGACGAGAGGGCCTTATCGGTGGCGTCGGGCAGGAGATCCCTGAGACGTCTATTGGTTGCCATCTGCGCGACGCGGTGCAATTCGTCGATGGGGTCGGAGGATTGATACTTGGGGCCAGAGTCGGACTGCGGACGCGAAGCTCCGAGACCTCCAGACCCCCCTCCTCCAGCTCCACTGTAAACTTGCCGATGAAGGCCTCCTGCTCCTCCACGTCCTTTACCCCCACCTCCTTGACCTCCTTTCCCTTGTCCCTTGTCCTTCCGAACTCCAGCTCCCGAGAACACCCAAGGTTCATGAATCCAGACGGGCGGAGGGGGTGGGATGAAGCCAGAAAACTGAGGAAGAGCACCTTTGCAGTGGTAACAGAACTTGAAGTGGGCGGGGTTCTTCTTGCAGCCGCAGGACGGGCACACGACGCCGATCGCCGTATTCCCCTCATGCGAACCTTTCCCTGCCATGCCCCGCGCACAACAAGGAGACGAGCACAGGCAGCTGAGGCCTGAAAGCTTGGGCACTGGGTGGCCCTGACCGAATCGGACACCGGCTGAATCCCTTGAGAGAGGTTGAGAAGTTAAGGAGCAGGCCCCTTGAGCCAAAATGGCTACGGTCCTCCTCCTCCTCCTCCTCCTCCTCCTCCTCCTCCTCCTCCTCCTCCTCCTCCTCCTCCCTCCCTCCCTCCCTCCCTCCCTCCCTCCTCCCTCCCTCCTCTTCTGCCTCCTCTGCTCCCTCTCTCCCGCCTCTGCGGCTCGTGGAAACTGGGGGACGTGCCCTGTGCCAGGGCCCGAACCCACCCCTTCGCCTAAGGCACCCATCGTGACCGTCACGCGCTCAGGAACGATCTGCGACCTCCTGGCACAACCTAGCCGCCGGTGCGTGTCCTTCCAGCACCCCACCTGGGCTTGGCAGGGCCCTGGCGAAGGTCCCAACCATATGCAGTTGTGGGTACCGTAATTGTGAATATCTGCTTCGGTGAAGCTCCCTGTGGGGCCACGAAGCGCTGCACTGGGCGGGGGGGGAACGATGTACTGTGTGGGTGGTGTGCCGCAGTGGGTTTCCGGGACGCATGCGGACGGTCCCACTTAGGGTTTCGGTGGAGTTCCCTGTGGGGCCACGAAGCGCTCTACTGAGTGAGTGAAAATGCCAAATTGGGTGTGCGGGACACATGCGGACGGTCCCACTGGGGGCTTCGGAGGAGCCCTATGAGGCCACGAAAAGCTGCACTGCGCGGGTGAAAATGCCAAATTATATTTTCCGGACGCATACGGACGGTGGCACTGGGGCATTGGGTGGAGCCCCTATGGGGCCACGAAGCGCTGCACTGGGTGGGTGAAAATGCCAGACTGGGCTTCCGGGACGCATGCGGACGGGGGCACTGGGGCCTTCGGTGGAGCCCCCTATGATGCCACGAAACGCTGTACTGGGTGTGCGGGACGCAGGCGGACGGTAGCACTGGGACCTTCGGTGGAGCTCCCTATGGAGCCACGAAACGCTGTACTGGGCGTCAGGGACGCATGCGGACGGTAGCACTGGGACCTTCGGTGGGGCTCCTCATGCGGCCACGAAAGGCTGTACTGGATGGATGAAACGCAGGGAGGAGGGGGAGGAGGGCCACGAAACGCTGTAATGGGTGTGCGGGACGCATGCGGACGGTAGCACTGGGACCTTCGGTGGAGCTCCCTATGGGGCCACGAAACGCTGTACTGGGCGTGCGGGATGCATGCGGACGGCAGCACTCGGACCTTCGGTGGGGGTCCCTATGGGGCCACGAAACGCTGTACTGGGTGGGTGAAACGCAGGGAGGAGGGGGAGGAAGGCCACGAAACGCTGTACTGGGTGTGCGGGACGCATGTGGACGGTAGCATTAGGACCTTCGGTGGAGCTCCCTATGGGGCCACGAAATGCTGTACTGGATGTGCGGGACGCATGCGGACGGTAGCACTGGGACCTTCGGTGGGGCTTCCTATGGGGCCACGAAACGCTGTACTGGGTGGGTGAAACGCAGGGAGGAGCGGGAGGAGGGCCGCGACACGAAACGCTGTACTGGGTGTGCGGGACGCATGCGGACGTTAGCTCTGGGACCTTCGGTGGAGCTCCCTATGGGACCACGAAACGCTGTACTGGGTGTGCGGGACGCATGCGGACGGTGGAGAGGAGGAGGGGGCAGAGGAGGATGGGAGAACGCGGGGACCGCTTCTTCAAAACGAGGACCCAACACCACAGAATGGTTGGGAAAAATGGGAGACATGAGGGGCCCTCTCGTATGCGGCCATCCGTCTCTCTCTTTTTCTCTCTCTCTCTCTCTCTCTCTCTCGCTCTCTCTCTCTCTCTCTCTCTCTCTCTCTCTCTCTCTCTATGTATATATATATATGTGTGTAGATATGTGTATATATGTATATATGTCCATATCGTTGCCTCTCTCCCCTGCCAACCCATATGCCGTATTATATCCATTGGCGTCCTTAAAACTATCCCTTCGACCTTGTGTTCATTCTTTGTCATTCAATCAGCAATAGTAAGATTACGATTCGTGTATATATACATACATGCATACAAACATACATACATACATGCATGCATAAAAATACATAACTCGTCGTCATAGTTTCGTTAGTTGTACTAGTTTGTTCATGTTGTCATTATTCATGATAGTAGTACTGATACTATTATGATCAGCGCGATTAGCATTACTAATAATAGTAACCACATTATTATGACGAGTAGTATGAATAGTAGCGGCAGCAGTAGTAGTAGGAGCAGTAGTCGTAGTAGTGGTAGTAGTAGTCGTAGTAGTGGTAGTAGTGGTAGGCGAGGTATTAATAGTAGCAGTAGTAGTAGTAGTAGCAGCAGCAGCAGTAGTAGTAGTAGTAGTACTAGTAGTAGTAGTAGTAGTAGTAATAGTAGTAGTAGAAATAGTAGAAGTAGTAGTCGTAGTTGCTGTAGTGGTAGAAATAGTACTACTAGTAGTAGTAGTAGTAGTAGTAGTAGTAGTAGTAGTAATAGTAGTAGTAGTAGTAGTAATAGTAATAGTAAAAGTAGTAGTAGAAGAAGAAGCAGTAGTAGTAGTAGTAGTAGTCGTAGCAGTAGTAGTAGTAGTAGCTGTAGTAGTAGTAGTAGTAGTAGTTAGTAGTAGTAGTAGTAGTAGTAGTAGTAGTACGTAGTAGTATAGTAGTACTAGTACTAGTACTAGTACTAGTACTAGTAGTAGTAGTAGTAGTAGTAGTTGTTGTTGTTGTTAGTAATAACAATAAGAATGCTATTGTTATTGCTATTCTTAATATTACCCTTCTTCACCTGGGTGGGAGGAAGGCTGGAGGACGGGGGAAGACTGGGATTGTGGAGGGAACGAGCGCGAGGCGGAGGGCAGCCATGAGGGGGAAGGGGGGGAGGGGTGTGGGGGGGAGGGGGCACGAGTAGAGCGGAGTGGAGTGGAGCGGTTCGGAGCGGAGTGGAGCGGAGCGCTGCGAAGAGAGACCAGAGAGGAACGAAGGGGAGGGAAGCGGAGGGGAGAAGAGGGGAGGGGAGGCGAGGCGAGAGGGGAGAAAAGGGAAAGGGAGGCCAGGAGAAACGAAAGCCGAAGGCAAGGACAACCTTCCTCATCGCTCCTCCTGCTCTTTCTCACTCCTCTCTCCTCTTCTCCCTTCCTCCCCCTCCTCCTCTTCCTCATCATCCTCCTCCTCATCACCCCACCACCACCACCACCACCATCATCATCACCCACCACCACACCACCACCACCACCACCACCACCACCACCACCACCATCATCATCATCATCATCATCATCATCATCATCATCATCATCATCATCATCATCATCATCATCATCATCATCTCATCATCCGTCTTCTCCTCCGCCTCCTCCTCTCCTCCCGCATCCTCATCTTCTCCCATCCTCCCTCATCCTCCACAGGAAGATGTGCTCCACCCAGAGGTCGGCCTGCAACTTCTTTCCAGTGCTCGCCTGCTTCTTCCGGAAGCGCGCCTCGAACTCCTCCCCGTTGCGTAGAACCTGGGAGCGACCGACGCCAGGGCGACCGAAGCCGACTGGCAGTGGTAGCCTCGAACAGCCATACACGAGTTCATGGCTGGTTGGCCCACTTGCCGCGGCAGTGATGGCCTCGATCGGTCACCGAACAGTGGCACCCCAACTGCTACTGCACCCTGGGCCACCGCGCGACTGAGCCCACACGTTCTGATGTCTCCGTCAGCCTCGGCCGCTGCGTCCAAAAGATCCGCGAGGCTCCGCCTTCGGTTGCCGCGCCCGCCACCACCCCTACTGTTTTGCATTGTTCGGGCATCCAGGGATGGTTGCGCCATGCCGTGATACAGAAAGTGAAGAGCCCGACTCGGGCGGTGCGACCTCGGCTGCCCAAGCAGACATGCAGCAGGACGCGAGCCGGGCAAAGAGGGCTGGCGAGAGAAGCCCAAGCCTGGGCCGCAAGGGCGTAGACTGAACGCCAGCCCAGAGGGGGAGGCGGAGGAGGAGGAGGAGGACGAGGACGAGGACGAGGAGGAGGAGGAGGAGCAGGAGGAGGAGCAAGAGAGGAGGAGGAGGAGGAAGAGCAGGCCGCGCTGCCACTCGGAGGACACCGACCCCGCTCCTCTGCCGGGTCCTCCCTCGACGTGCTGCGCGCTCCTCTTTGCCCCCTCGTGCCGCTTTAGTCGGACTCGATTGGACAGGACACGCGAGAGGACACGAGACCCTTCCGAGGGCCACGTTGCCACAGGAAGGTAGGAAGTATGGGTCGCGAGACACAGGACACAAGGGTACCCTTGATTTGGCAGGGTCGACCTACTAATCTGGGCCGACTGTAGCCGCTGACACGACGGGCACTGTGGGCTCGGCGACTCTCGCCGAGAACGCAGACCTCGGCACTAAGGACAGGGGTACCGGTGACTGAACCAGGGGAACGAACCATGGCATAGACATAAAAGCTCCGAGGTCCGCGCGGATTCCTCGGATCGGCGCTGGGGCCCCCTGGCGGCGCCTCCAGCGCCGCCCCTGGCGCGCTCCGCGCGCCAGGGAGGGAGGTCCAGCGCCGATCCGAGAAATCCGCGCGAACCTCTGAGTTCTCATGTTTATGTCATTGCTCGTTCCCCTATGAACGGGCGAAGCACGGCATGAGATGAACTGCTTCGCCGTCGGGGACGCCTGTCCCAGGCCGGCTGGAAAGCTTATACCCCCGCGGTGGCACGTCAGGGCATGACCTTTCCAGCCGCCCTGGGACAGGCGCCCCCAGCGACAGAGAAGTTTACTTTCTGCCGCTCTTCGCCCGCTGCACGAAGACGGGCCCTGGACCCCAGGAACTTTTCCTTCGGACGCCCGAGGTGGGTGAGGAAAAAATGGCACGGTGCCCAGTAGCAACAGTTGTGCGGAAACCGACAGCGGCCGCTGTTGGGCAGGCGGCCTTCTGTCTCAAGTGGTGGCTGTGCGGACAGCGAGTCCTGTTCAGAATGAACCACGATTTCCGTACCCATTTCGATCGTGCCGACTTCCATAGGCCAAGCTTCCCATCCAAGCTTTCCGTCCAGGGCCTCCCTGGGCCAAAAGCATCCCTGACTGACGGCCACGAGGCCTGGGGAGGTCCTCAGGAGGCTAGTAGGAGACCGACTACAAAATTGATGTACCCCAAACTTGACGAAACATCCAAAAAATGTTCGCCAACCTGCTAGACATTCTACACACTTTCTCAGAGATTCGACGAACAACAACAAAAAACTTGGGGATAATAAAATATGCAGTCGATGCCCTGCTCGAAAAACGGCGAAAAGCCTCGGGGCAACTTTCCTTCAGGACCCCCTTTTCCATTCATCGCTTAGCATGGCAAAACGAATCCTGAATCGGGTCCTGGACCCTGCGGCCTTCCCCCAGGACCAGTTCTTCATCCTGAATCGTTACCTGACAGTCCTGGGGCCCGTGGAGGGCTCCACGAAGCCAAAAACGGCGAGAAGAACCCCAGGACCCGCTTCCCTCAGGACCCGTTCCCCCCCCTGGCGCATGGCGAAGAAGGCAAGACGGGCACCTGCTGTTGCCGGTCGAGCTCCTTCTCGCAGAAGGCCCAGAGCTCGAGCTCCTGCGCCACCGCCTTCTCGACCTCCTCGCACGCCTTGCCGAGCGCCTGGCTTGCGGCCTCGGGGCGGCGCCTCGCCACCGCGAGGAAGAAGAAGCACCGGAGGTACCTGGGACAGGCGCGGGCAGGCAGAGCAGAACTTGGGGAATCCCTTCCCCGCTTCCCCCGTCCACCCCACCCCGCCACTACCCCCACTTGCCCTCCCTCCCTCCACTCCCCCCTGCCCGCCTGCCCCCCTGCCCCCCTGCCACTCTCTCATGGCAAAGCCTAGAGGACTACAAGCACTGGCAATTTAGGCTTGACATGCCTGTTCGCTCTCATAATGCTCCGCGTCGCTTGGGGCCAGAACGTGTCTGCATCAACCACTTCAGTAGATGTGCATTCCGCCAACGCTGCAACCTCCGCAAAGAGAAACGAGGCCACAGAACCGAGGTCAGTCTCACCCGTCGCGGAAATCCCACCAGCGCTCTGGGCGGATGTGGTTGTGGCTTAGCACGCTGCCTCTTCCAGTCCGCTTCTTCCCCTTTGTTCAGAAGACCACCCCCTCTTCCACTCGAGCAGCCTCCAACCAGGAACCATGTGCGCACCTCCCGCTATCCATGTGAAGGATCCTACCCGACGGAGGACCTACCCTATGCGAAGAATCCCACCCTGCGCAGCTGCGAGCAACACAAGATATGATCCTCTCGTCATAGGTAGCGCGCGGCGAGAGGGATGGGCTCTGGGGCGGTGGTCGTCGTCGTTGAAGCGTTTTCTGAAGGCCACTCCAAGCGCGGCTCTCCGCCTGCCGCGATCCGCTCGCTGGGCCGCGGTCGGCCCGATGTCTGGGACCTGCCCGGTCCAGCAAGAAGGCGGCGGACCTTGGGAGGGGGTGTTACAGTCGGGGCGTTGACCTAAGGAACCCTAAATAAGGAACGAGGCCCCTTTCTTCCATAAGTTCAACTTTGATTCCCCATGGAAAATCTCAAGAAAACCTAGGGCAGACTGTGAAAACAATCAAGGAACACCGAGCCCCTCCCCAACGAAAAGGGTTCCTTCTTCAGGGCCCCGACTGTACTGCCGATGCATGTTCGGGCCGCCTCGCTGTCGGGCACCCCCCCGTCGCATGACACACGTCGACGCAAAAAGGTGCGTCACGGGCTCCTCGGCCGCCAGCGCCGAGCGCCGCGTTTGGCCTGTCGCCCGCTGCGGGGCCCCCCGCCCGCGCGACGAGGGCCGGGCGGGAGGTATGCGACCCGGAGCCACGCAACGGTTTCCTCCTCCTCCTCCTCCTCCTCCTCCTCCTCCTCCTCCTCCTCCTCCTCCTCATCCTCCTCGTTCTCGTTCTCGTTCTCGTTCTTGTTCTCGTTCTCGTTCTCGATATCGTTCTCCTCCTCATCCTCCCCTCCTTACTCCCCCTCATCCTCCCTCCTCCTCCTCCTCCTCTCCTCCTCCTCCATCCTCCTCCTCCTCCTCTCCTCCTCCTCCCTCCTCTCTCCTCCTCCTCCTCCCTTCCTCCTCTCCTCCCTCCTCACTCCCTCCTCCTCTCTCCTCCTCTCCTCCTCCTACTCTCCTCCTCCTCCCTTCTCTCCTCCTCTCCTCCTCCCCCCTCCTCCTCTCCTCCTCCTCCCTCCTCCTCCTCTCGCCTCCTCCTCTTCCTGCCTACCCTCCTCCTCCTCCTCCTCCTCCTCCTCACCTCCTCTCCTCCTCCTCCTCCTCCTCTCCTCCTCCTCCTCCTCCCTCCCTCCTCCTCCTCCTCTCCTCCTCTCCTCTCCTCCTCCTCCTCCTTTCCTCCTCCTCCTCCTCCTCCTCCTCTCCTCCTACTCCTCCTCTCCTCACTCCTCCTCCTCCTCCTCCTCCTCCTCCTCATCCTGAGCTCCTATCCTCTCCCCTCCTCCTCTCCTCCTCCCCTCCTCCTCTCCTACTCCTCCTCCTCCTCCTCTCCTCATACCTCATCTCCCTCCCTCCTCCTCCTCCTCCTCCTCCTCCTCCGCCTCTTCCTCCGCCTCCCCTCCTCCTCCTCCTCCTCCTCCTCCTCCCCTCCTCCTCTTCCTCCTCCTCCTACGCCTCCTCCCTCCTCTCCTCCTCCTCCTCCTCCTCCTCCTCTCCTTCCTCCTTCCTCCTCCTACTTCCCTCTCCTCCTCCCCTCTCCTCCTCCCTCCTCTACCTACTTCCTCCTCCCTCCTACTCCTCCTCCTCTCCTCCTCCTCCCTACTCCGCATCCTCCTCCTCCTCCTCCTCTCCTCCTCTCCTCCTCCTCCCTCCTCTCTCCTCTCTCCTCTCCTCCTCTCCCTCCGCACCTCCTACCTCTCCCCCTCCTCCTCATCACCCTCCTCTCCACCTCCTCCTCTCCCTTCCTCTTCCTCCTCCTCCTCTCCTCCTCCTCCTCCTCCTCCTCCTCCCCCTCTTCCTACTTCTATCCTTATTCCTTACTAGAATTCGCCGGCCCAACGGGCCAGAGGCGTGCTAAGATCTCCGGTAACTGGTTAACGATATTCTAGTTCGCGCGCGCGGGGCGGCCCCTGGGGGTGCCCCGGCCAAGAGTACCCCGCCCGCCGCCTGGCCACCCTTTGTCAGAGATGGTTTTCCTCCTGGGTGGGGTCTCTGAGGCCGCCCAGAGCGCGCCAAGAGGGCCCCAAGAGGCCCCCAAGACTGCCCAAGAGGCCCCCGAGACGCCCAAAGAGCCTTCCAAGACGCCGAAGATGACCCCAAGACGGCCCAAGAGGCCTCCAAGTGGCCTCCCAGAGGCCTCACAAGAGGGCCCCGAGAGGCCAAAATCAACAATTTTACGATGGTTTTGGACGGATTTTGGCCTAGTCGCCTTTTCGGCTTTCCGATTCTCCAAGACGGCCCAAGACTTGGCCCCCAAGAGCGCCCCAAGACGGGCCAAGAGGCTTCCAAGAGGGCCCCAAAAGGGCCTCAGAGGGCCCCGAGACGGCCCAAGAAGCGCTCAAGACGGCCCAAGGAAGCCCCAAAACGGCCCCGAGAGGGG